AACTCAACAGGATCCCCTAGAAACTCTGGGGCCGATTATTCAGCAATGAAGCCGCTGTTAAGTTAAACCTAGCCATGTGTTTTAAGAGGATGTTCTTTTTAGTTTATTTTGTTTTGTTCCTTTTTGAGGGCGGGACCTAGTCTGCACTTACTGCTAGCTTGGTAATATTTTACGCAGAAAACATTGGAGAACAGTAGAAAAGAACGATAGAAATGGTTTTAACAAAAATTTCCCCCTCGTTTAACTTGCCTACAATGCACTAATTCCATCACCCGCCCTATTGGTTTCAAAATTTTTACTCGCTGTTGCCTCGGCATTTGATTGCGTTTACAACGATGATGATTATTTGTCCTTCTTTCTTTTTTCTTTCATTTTATTTGAACCTTTTACTTTACCAAAAACTAAAACAGCATTTAATGGAAATTCCTATCCATAATCAGACATTCCTTGGTGAACGTCTGCGGTTGTCCTTTATCTCTCTGAATAAAAAACAATGAAATTGGTAATTATTAGGATGTCCGTCGCGTCATCTCCTCTTTTTCATACAAAATGTAACAACAGTATGTACGTCCCGACAATGTCTCACTCGCCTAGCTTAAATTTTAATTTAAGAAGAGTTTTAATTTAAGAAAAGAAGTGTGCGTGAATACAGCACTGGCCATTGATTGATAAAGCTCGCTGTTGTTGCCAATTTAAATGATGTAAATGACGAATATATTGCCATTTTTTGTAAAAGTTGTATCGTTCTTTTCAAATAGTACTCCCAGGGAAATAGTTAAACTTAGCGAGACTGCATTGAATACAACAGGCCCCTTAAACTTAAACAAAGTCGATCAGTGGACAGCTGGGTTTTCGTAATAAGATTATTTACTTTATTTCTACCCTGCACTTATAGTCGTGGTAGACGTTCAGTTTTTACAGTAAACAGTGTTTAAACAGACATAACGGTTTCATCAAAATGGAATGCAGTTGGGCTGAAACCTACTACATTCCTTTCAAAACAACACTGGCTTTTTTCCAACTGTATTTATCGCAGTTACTTAAAACTTCATTGCTTAATTCAAAACTACCATGATTATTTCTTTCGTCGTCTTTCCTTTCTTTCTTTCTGTCTTTCTTTCTTTCTTTTATTTCAATAGTTTAATTCTAATATATATAACACCCTTTAATGAAAATTATTTATCAGACGTTTCCCGGGGAAAGATTGCTAGTTTTTCCAGGTTTTTATTGCCAGTTAAAAATAAAATGGGGCCGTTTTGAGGGTCCTTTTCAATTTTCAGTCTCTTGAAATGGGTCAATTTTTTTTTGCGCTTCGATGGTTCTTATTTGGATTAACTTTCATGAGTGAATATTGCGTAAGATCTGTAAGATGACGATGATACAATTTTGAAGTAAATGATGTCATAGATAACTTGTTGTAAGCCACCAAAGATATAACGTTTTTATGAAAAAGTAAAAATCCACGGTGGCCAAAATGGAAGTGATTTAGGACATTATTTTGTTGAAACCTGGCACCTCGTTTGGGTAACCTGTCCTAGAATAGTTTTCAAACTGTTTGTTCGTAGTTTATGCGAAGTTACTCAAAGCCAATTTACACGACCAAGGAGACGAAGTAGCTCGGGCTGTAACAAAAACCAGTTTCAGAGGAGGTCCAGGTACAAGCGCTATGGAATCAAGAGAAACAGGCACGATACTAAAAAAAAGAAGCGATGTACTATGCTCCCTGGGGAACGAGTCCAAGAGCGTTTACACGTTGCTCTGTTCTAGCCTGCGTCACAAACGTAATCAAACCACGCCCGGCTAGTAGCCGGGTTTAGTTTCGCCTGTGGCATTGGCTACTTTTCTCAAAGATCGGTACCAAAAGATAAATACTGAAAAAAAGGCGAGTATACGCGTTGAAAAGCAAACAAAAATGCGGGTACGGAACCGGGTTGGGGTGAAGTGGGATGAAGTACCCTTTACATGTAATTTTTTTTCCGAGCCGTACCTATTTTTTTCGCCCATGTAAACGGGCTTTTTAATAATTTCATTTATGACTACAATGATCATTTCATTAGACTTGAAGCGTTTTATTTGTGAAAGGATCAACGGTAGCAACTTGTGATCAAAATTATTTTCCTTACTGAGACGTCCCCTGATGAATGTCTGCCGATCTCTGTTTCAGACTGATAAAAAAAAATAAGGTGTCTGAATTTTTATTTTTTATTTTATAATAATTTTAATTTCGAATTCCTTTTCTATTCTATTCATTTGCAGAAGCACATTGAGATAAAAGACTTCTGAATTTCAGTAGTCATCCAAAGACAGCAACAATAAGAACAGCAATAATTTTAGTTCTAAGTCAGGCTACATATTTTGGCAACCTGCAGTTATAGCTGATAACTTGTCGAGAGGGGGGGAGGATGTCAAAATAATAAAAAAAAGAAATTTACACAGTATTATAAAGAACAAGTTAAAATAGATTCAAGGCTTGATAGTTTAATTATCTAACTACGTACACTCTAGCCTCTAGTACACACCATTATGACTAACTATTCGCTCATTATCCAGACAGGCAACTCATCAACAAATCT